CCCCCACAGCAGCTGGGTGACAAAAGGCAAATCAGAGCGGACAGCAATGCAGATTTTAGAGCAAGGAAGACTCAGGGACCGCAAACAAATCCAGATCATGGAAATGGCAGGATTTTCCAGCCCCAAAGGGGTTTCTCCCCCCATTTAAGGAGTGATGTGTCCTTGGTTTTTCCCAAACACATGTGGGAGAAGCAGAGCAGACTCTTTCCAGGACATGACAGAGCTCTCTGGTTACAACTCCACGGCAGCTTGACTGGGCCAAGTGCCACCTGGAAGGACACGTTGTTTGAAAAACAAGGCTGTATTTCTCCAACAGCACATCAAGGCTCCAAACCCAACAGGAGCAAACCAGCAGGAGGGCTGTAACAGGAAAGCCTTGCTGGATGCAGAAGGAGCTTCTCTTTTGCTCTGTTTGCTCCCCACAAAAGCCTTTTCCCCATTTTATGGGACTCACTCCTGTTTATTCACAGGAAGAATATATTTCTTGACCAGATCCTTCAGCAGTAAGAGATGTCTTTGACTCACAGCTCATGGGCTCAAGTCCTGGCAGGTTTATACTGTGACATGACATCTGAAATCCCCTTGGGAAGGAAACGCTGGGTGTAGCAATGGACAGAGCATCCCCTCCTAGATGTTCTCCACAAGAGCACACGGGGTTTTTCTCTGCCTCAGTCTCTCTCTAAAAGACCTCCCAGAGCTCTGCCACTCACCTGGCAGGAAAGCCTCTTGCCCAGACAGCCCTGCACTGAAACAAGCTGTACCTGGGCTGCTTCGGCAGCAGCTGCCACAGATAAAAGCCACATTCACTTGCAAATTAAAATGTTAAAGATCTACCCAAGAGGAAAACACATCTGCCAAATCTCCTTGTTCAGCTAATCGTGTCAGAGATGGCTCCAGTTTCAGGACTGCTGGTGCCATTGCTCTGTTCTCTCTGTCCCACCCAAGACCTTTAGGCCACACTTGTTCCCTGAGCTGCAGAACAGGCAAACTCAGCCCATCTCCTAACTGCTATTTTCAATAAAACTGGAGTACTCTGATTTTGATGAAGAGTGATCAACAGGGGACAGATCCACTCTCTTTAAAAAGCAAATGCTATTCTGCAAACAGGTCCTTGGAGGACAGCTGAGCTGGGCCAAGAGACTTCAAACCTTGGAGAGAAGGATGTCCTGGCCATCCAGAAGCTGACGCAGCAATTCATTGCCCAAGTTTTTGTTTTGGGAGGAAGGTGTTAGCATTTTTTTCCCCCAGAAATATGCATGCTCAACCACAAAGGAAAAGTCATGGCCCAGACCAGCCACTGGGCTGGTGCAGAGTTTGTCAGCTAAGCTCCTGAGGCAGCAGAGCTGGTATGAGATTGAGAGTTCCTAGCAGGACAGCTGTCTCCCAGATCTGCTCGGACCACAATCCCCAGCTGACCTCAGGAAGTTTGCATGGCACAGACAACCACAGAGCCCGCCTGCTATTCCAGCCCAGCAATCACAGATTCATTGCCTGACCTCCTTCTCAAAGTCTTTATATCATATTTCTCACTCTAGAGATGTGACTCAATGTGTTGGCATAAGAAAACACGCCAGGAGAATATTCTTGTGCCTCTCCCCTTTATCCTACCCATCCTGCTATGTGTTTAATTGAAATAGCAGAAAGTGAGGAACGTCTGGCAGCTGCGGAAAGGCACGCGGGGACTTTTTGTCCCTCCTCAGAACAGAAAAGCAAATTTGTGTAGATACTTTTCACAGGGAGAACCTCAAAGGTAGCACAGGAAATGTCTCACACCCAAATTCACAGCTTCCACATCCCTCTGGCAGCACGAGATCTGTCCTGGGACTGGGATGCTGTCACCCCTTAGGAGATGAACCACAGAGCTTCACCAGCAGCACAGTGGCTGTGGTGTCCTTTCTGCCCTGAAGGGCAGGTGACACTCTGGGGAAGCCATCCAAGCCCAGCTGCAGGTGTGTGAGCTGTGAATGCCCAAAGGCAGTGTTTGAGCTGTATGAATTGCCAAAGGCAGCGCTTTTCCACATGTGGAACTTGCCTGATTTTCCAGCCCAGAGACTCTTGTACAGGGGGTTATCTCTGCTGCCAACAGATCTGCTCCCACTGGCTCCTGACACAGAGCATTCCCTCATATGGGTCCACAGACTGCAAAGATTCCTGAACTTACACACTGGCAAAGCACAACACAGCCCAGAGACAGAAAAGCTGGAGTCTGGAGTCTGGAGAGAAAGCAAGGTACTGCCACCTCTCTGCAAGGGACAGCAGCTGAGCCCTGTGGATGTCCCTGAGGGGCACCAGAGGGACCAGGCGAGGGATGGACTCGTGTGCAAGCAGAGCCTTCAAGGCCAGAGGATCAGAAGTTACCAGATAGACAGGCAAAGACAGAATATTGGTGGGGAAGATGGATTCTGACTCAAGTAAAAAACGCCAGGAAGGACAAACTGTGTGAGAACCAAGAAAGATTCAGGCACAGGATAAGACTCAGTCTGAAGCATCCCACATGGAAATGCTGCCATTGCTGTGAACCAGCCTCTGGAGTCTACTGGGCACACACCTCTACCCTCTCCTGCTTTAACAGAGCTGGTTTAAAACCCTTTCTATTTAGCCAAGCAGGAGAGAACTAAAGCCTTCTAAGACTTGAAAACATTACCTGGCACCCAAAGGTACATCTGTGCTGTGAGTACCTACAGGGGGGTGATGCTCACCAGCCTCAGCAGTAATGGAGAGCACTGGGTCAGGGTCCCCATGGCCAGCAGATCAGTGCAGCCCTGGTGGCAGCTGCATGAGCTGCTGAAGGTGCCCAAGTGTTCAATTTGCTACTGTGTGAGCCCACAAACAGGATTACTGAGAGGTAATGACAAGTGTCAGGAGCCACTCAGCCTCCTGGCTTGGCTGGAAGAGACATCTGGCATGAAAGGGCCCAAGTGGTGCAGGGGGAGTAGCTGACTTTTATAAGTTTCTTTATAAGCACCACTCCCATCTATTTTATTTTTTTTTCTGTGTTTTTTCTAGGTCCCATTTATTCACTCACAGTAGGGCCTGTCTGTAAGTCCTGTGTGTGTGTGTAGGTACAAACTCTGTTTATCTCCCCCCCATGTTTCAGCCCTATTCATCAGGCATTTGTAAATGGCATTTTATGAGTGCTGAGTTTTTAACAGGGCAGGCACGCTGCTCCAGAGTGAACAAAGGGGCCCCTATTGGAAACTTTAAAGATGTTTAAACAAAGACTTCTCTTGAAAACCTTTAACCCCTCATGCCAACCTCAAGGGAAACGCTATGTTATGAGCAATGGGAGCACAAACATCTTCTGTGACCACAGATTTTCTACAACAAGCTGCCTTGTTGGCCACAGCTCCTCTGTTTGCTCCAGCCACCAGCCAGGGCAGCCACCGAGCCCATCTTGTTCTGAGCACATACGGTTTCTTTAATTCTTCAACAAAAAATGAAAGTTACAACTTCCACAAAAATCCACAACAGCTTTTTCCCATTGGATGCAGCAATACCCTGCCTGCTTTGATGAAAAGTGTTGTTTTACTGCAGACACCAAGATCTGTCGCCTGGTTTCAAGAGGGAAGTTTGCATTTAGGATGAGGCTGAATTTATCCATATCCTGGTGGCAAATATCAGGGCTGAGATCTGAGATATTTCCCCACACACAGCTTTTTGCTGATATCAACAGCAATCTAATGAATTCCTGCAGAGATTGCAAGAATCTGCTTGTGAAATGCCGTTTCTACTTGTTATTGAGAACCTGCACACTCTCTGCTTGGATTAACTGCTCCTGTCCTTGAAAAAAACAAAAATCTTTACTATCAAGAGATGCTACAGAGGATCCCACAGGGAGGGGTCCCAAAGGGAAAACTTCATAACAACTTTATAAATAATCTGGGTTTAAGTGAAGTAAAAATACAGTGTGATTAAGCAAAAGAGGCAAAGCCCTGTGCCTTGTCTCAGAGCTGGACTGAGAACAGGTCCCTGCTCCCCTCAGTCCTACTGCACCCATGGTGGCTTCTATTGACACAGGACTGTCCCAATTCCCTGCCAGCCTCCTTACCCACTCTGCAGCCTGCCTCCTGAAGGATTCAGCAGCTCTCTGCTCCACAGCAAAGGCTGTCCCTGCAAAACCCCAGCAGAGCACATACCACCACCACAGCATGGATCGGCTCAGCTCACTCGAGTGCATGTCCACACAAACACGATGAGTGCAAAATAATCTGATTTTCCAAACAAGTTTTCCCATGCAATTGCTTGGAACAGAAATGCCCAAAGCTAATTTTATCCTGTGAAACAGTTGGAATGATAAGCCGAAGGTGGGTGATTCCTTGTGCAAACGAGTATGCACAGACCCAATTTTCCAGTCGTGCAGAAACAAACTTAGGGTACACTTCTGAGCTTATCTTTCTGCAGGATCTCCATTTCCCGCTGCTCAGCACGCCTTGCCCAGGTGTACCAGACATTATTATGCTCTGCTATGAGATCCTCGGCTGTATAAGCAGGGACCTGCCCGACAGGTAGGCAAAAGGCGAGCCGGGCAGGCAGCCTGAGGAGCTCACTCATCGCTGCCACAGCACGGAGGAAGAGCGGGTTCCGTGCCCCGGCACCGTGCGCCCGGGGCTCGGGAGGGCTCCATCCCCCAGACGGGAGGAAAAACCCTTTGGGGCGAAGGATGTGCTCTTCCCCTCCTCCCGGCTTTGCTTTCTGCTCCTGGCGCCCAGGATCGCCGCTCCCCTTCCTGCCAGCCCCGCTCCGAGGAGAAGCCCACTCGGAGGGTGCCAATGCCCGCGGCAGCGCTCGGCACCGCGCACAGCCTCGGGACCGGGCTGGGACCGGCACCGGGACCGGGATAAGGATCGGGACCAGGATAGGAACCGGGATCGGGATGGGGATGGGGACAGGGATCGGGAGCGGGATTGGGATCGGAATCGGAATAGGAACCGGGATCGGGATGGGTATCGGTTCCGGGACCGGGACCCGGACCCGGACCGGACTCACCCGCGCCCTCCTGACCCTCCTCGTGTGCTGTGCTCCCCGCAGGAGCGGCGGTGCCCGCGGAGCCGCCGCCTCAGCCGTGCCGGGCTCGGAGCCGCTCCCCGCCGCGCTGCTGGCTCAGGTACGCGCTGCGGGCGGTGCGGGGCGGCGGCAGCGCCGGGGCCCGCCGGCTTTAACGGGGCGGGGGAGCGAGCGGGGGGGCGGCGGGGCGGGCACGGCCCGGCCCCGGGGCTGCGCCGGCAGCGGGGGGACCGGGGGGGGACCGGGGGGGAACGGGGGCAAGCGGGGGTCCCACCTGCCCCCGCCCCGCCGAGCGCGGCCCCGCGGGAACTGCGCGCAGGTGGAGCCGGCACCGGAGGGTGCCGGGACGGGACGGCCGGGGGATCGCGGGCGGGGAGGGCCCCGCTGCTTTTAGCGGTTTAGCTTCATTTTTTCTTTATTTTTCTCTGTTTTTCCTTTTTTACCCCTTTATTTCACTTTCTTAATTTTTTAATTTTTTTTCTTTATTTTCTCTATTTTATTTATTTATTATTTTCTCTAATTTATTTCTTGTTCTTTTTTATCTTGCTTTATTTTTCTTTATTTTATCTATTTCTTCTCCTTTCGCTTTTTTCTTTGTTTTATATTTTTATATTTTTATTATTTTCTCCTTTTGTTGTCTCTTCCCCTACTGGGGTAATGCATGTGGTAGCCCCATAAACTCAAAAGTTCATGGAAAAAGGAGAGTCTAAGCTTAATACCCATTTAATACCCTAACCCTAACCCATTTGACCTACAGTGTCCTGGAAGTTTAGGAACATCAGCAGGTAGTGGCTGCAGTGTGGGGAGGTGAGCTTGAGCCAGGAGACTGCACAGCAGAGCTTGGAGGGCTGTAGAGCCTCAGGTTAATCTTTCATCAAGAAGGTCAGCTGATGTGCTTTGGAGATCATCAGCAGAAGCTTCTTGGAAACTCTGGAATAGATTTTCCCAGTTCCCCACCTCTTCCCAGTTCTCCCACCTCTCCTAGATCAGTCTGGTGGTGGCACAAACCACCTTTAGTGCTTTTTAGGACTGTGTAGTGGTGCTTTAACAGCATTTCCCTTCCTCTTTGCACACGAGGAACAGAGAAAGGGGACTCCAATAAATCACCCCCACTGTCTGAATTTTCTAGCAGATGTACCAATGCTGTTTTATCAAACTTGGGCATTTTGGGGGTGTTGGTGCTGCTGAGGTGCCCAGCCCAGCTGGCCCCTGCTCCCTGCAGAGCTCACTGCCACAGGCTTTTCCTGCTCTCAGCCGCTGTTTGCCCTTGGTGTGGTCAATAAATCCCCCAGGCCTAGAAAAGGCTGAATTTCACTTGTGTGTGCAGTGAGGAAAATACAGGATTTATAAATACCCATGCATATACAAGGGCTGTGGGTTGGGTTGGTCTGGATTAAAGGAGGTATTGAAAAATGAGGGAAGCCAGAAACTGCAGGCTTCTCATTTCTGTGATTTCTAATGGCTTTTCCTTTTGCATAAACATTGCCTTGACTCCATACCCAAGAGCACTGCAGGCGTTTTCTCCCCTGATCTGCACAAAATATAACCCAGACCTCTAAAATGGATATTTTTTATTAGGATGTTTGGTTTCCCCAAACTGAGGGAAGAACAGTTGCCCTCTGTGGCAGCAAGTCCTCAGCAAGCTTCAGGGCAGCTGTGTCCTGAGCAAGGCAAACCACAGCTCCTTTTTTGGGGGGGAGAAAAGCAGAAAATTAGGTCTCTGCACTTCAATTCAGTGCTAACTGCACTTGGGGACACTGTTACTGTGAGTTACAGTTCTTGTCTAAAGAGGTGATTTGAAGAGCCAGTTTTTAAACAATAGCTGCTGGGATTGCATTTTGGTCTCCAGAGTTGGGTACTTTCATTCCCAGGGGACCAAATATATCAGATCCCTTCCTGAGCTGGTGGAGCTCACTGATCTGAAAAGCAGCAGGGCAGAGGGCAGTTTGCTTCTCCCAGTGCCTGTAAAGCGCTTTTTTCTTCTGCTGCGGTTGCCCAAGGGTGTGGGCATCACACAGAGGTGATGTGTGGAGCAGGGCATGTCCCACACAGGGAGCAGCATTCCCCAGCTGCAGGCAGCACAAAGCACTGAGTGATGCCCCTGAGCACTTGCTGCAGGGAGGGAGGGGGATAATTTCCAGCTGTGGTGTTAAACATCAGCTCTCCTAAAATCAGCCATGGGGCTGTGGGGTGCAGCCCTCCCAAAGCCTCCCGGCGCCTCGGTGTGCCCACATGAAACAGCCCCGCGCAAGGTGGTCCAGCTGTGTGTCTCCTGTGGAAAGCACACAGAGTACTCCTCCTTTTCTGCTTCATTTCCCATGGGAGAGGGCACAGAAACCCAGACAGGGTTTACAAATCCCCATGAGGAACCCTGGGTCTCTCCCAGCTCAAGCAACAGGGCAGAGCCACCCTGGAGATGCACCACAAATGCTCTCACACCCTCTCCTGAGGCACAGCCTCACCTAAAGCAAAGGAAAAGCCTTGGTGAGTGGTGCCAGGCTGAGCAGGGAAGGGGAAAGGCTTACAGAAATCAGTGTAGGAGAAAGGTGGTGGATCCCCCCTTGCTCCCCCTCCTTTTTCTACATAATGCCCAACTGTGTGGAGAGCAGCAGAGCCCCAGCCAAGACCTCAGGCTCTGAAAAGGCAGCTTTTAGTGAGAGCTGTGAGAGCCCAGCCCGTGTGGGGCTGCTAACATGACACTGAACTAACACTGCACTACAGCCTAAGCATTTTAATAATTTAATATAATAAATGTCAGAAGGAGTGAATAATTCTCTGTAACCCTGAGGAGGCTGGAGGGGCCAGAAGGAGCCAAGTGGGCATACTGAGCTGCTTTAGCAAGAGCCCTTTGACTCTCTGAAGGGAAATTTATAGCAGATGATGGATGCTGGGTGGTCGTCTCTGTGGGCAGAATGGCAAACACTGTTCAGGAGTGCGTCACTCACACAATTTAGCCCCAAAATTGGGAAGGCAAGGGCTGCAGAGAACAGACAAAGAAAAGAAACCCAAGCTTCTAGGTAGTTGTTCCTCCAGCTGGACATCAAATCTGAAGAGCTCCCATCTGTTTACCTGCCTTTGGCATGCACATTCCCCCTTCAAGCAATGAGCAGCATGCGGGTAATTGTTCCAGAAGGTTCTTTAATCGGCTCCAGGCAGTGACCCACGTGCCTCTGGAATTGTGCAGGGATGGCAGGGAGCAGTGATACCTGCACAAGCCTGGCCCTGCCCTGAGCCAGGGCTGTGGAGGCTCTGCAGAGCAGGCATTGCTGCTGCCCACGCTGCCAGCACACGTCTCAATCCACAGCTTTTGGCAATTCGCTCCTGAACACTCCCTGGCCTCCGTGCCAGGCTGTTCCACACTTTGCCAAGGGGTTACTAGCAGAGGAGCCCCACAGGGAGACATCAAGCTGCATGGATGGGCAGTGGTGACTGCATTGGTGACACTAAAGGGGATGGAGCATGTGGCTCTGCAGCTGAGACACAAGGACCCAGAGCTATGCTCCTAATTTTACACAGCACACTGAACCACGAGACTCACCAGGAAAAAATTCACACACCCAGCCTGGTTCTTTCCTGCTGTGTGCCCGTTGTCTCTGACAAACTGAGGGTGAAATGCTACTGAGCAGAGCCAGCAAGGTTCAGGACTCATTTAACACTGTGTTGGTTAATTTAACACTGCATTAGTGTAAAAGGGTATCCAGGGTCAGGCCAATTTCCTTGATACATTTCTACATTTATCCCAATCATAATCAGTTGTTCTAAAAAAAAAAAAAAAGAAAAAGAAAAAGAAAGAAAAAAACCAACAAAATCAACCAAAAAAGAAAAAGGAAAAAACATAAAAACCCAAAACCAAACCCAGAGTTTTGCTGAGATTCCCAAATAGTGCTTTTATATGAAAGGAAAAATAGCAAAGGCAGATCAAAGCTGAAATCACACCATTGCTTGGCAGCAGAGGAGTGAAACAGCTGCAGATTGCCACTATGGAAAAAGATTAAATAACTTTCTTATGGGATCTCTTTGGCTGTGCAAAGATATAAACTATTCACTGGCTAGGAAGGGGAGTGAAACTTCAGCAGCACTAAGTGACCCACCCTGGAGCAGCCACTGGTGGGATAATGGTAAATATAAAGCTCTGCCTCAGTGTGCTGGAATGTTGGAACAGGAGTCTCCCAGCACCTGGATGGAGGGAACAGGTACAGCCTTGGCAAAGGAGCTGCTTGTCACAAAATGAAAGCCTGGTCCTTCATTTGCAGATAAACAGCTAAAAAAATGCCCCAGTTGATCCCAAAGATCAAATCCTTCAGCAGAGCTCTGGCATCTTTTGATTGGAGGGGGAAAAAAGGAGAAAAAGTATTATCTGGGGTCCCATGAGTGCTGTGGGCTGAGCCCAGAGCCCTGAGCTGGCAGCAGCTCTGGGGCTGCCACAGGAGCAGAGCCTGGTGGCATCCTGAGCTCTGCACTCAGCAATGGCCATAAAACATTAATTTTCCAGGCACAGAGCAGCAGTTAATGCTGTGGGTGACACTGACACTGGCCCTGGCTGTAAATCTGACTCTGGCAGGGCTCTGGTGATTTACATTTACTAGCTAACACATCTAGGATAAGGAGCTGGGAACAAGGAGGGCAGGAGATTATATTGCCCCTCTGGTAACCTAACAGAGCACATCTGTGCAGTGCAAAGTGTCAGGTCCCCGTGGCACTGCTCAGAGAAGACACTGGGTATGGATTTGTTTATACGGGACATGTGGTTTTCTTCCTCAACAACAGCAGAGCATCAGCTCCATCCAAAGGTGGGAAAGCTGGAACTGAAATGTGTTTAAAGTGAATTGCAACATGGTGCTAAAAGCTGTAAGGGGCACAGCCTTTTTAAAGTATTGCACTGTGAAGAACAGAGCTGACAGGCAAACCCTGCTAGCAGGATGCTTGGAGTGACTGTGTGCAGCTTCTCTCCCTGGAGCCTGCTCTGCCCTCTGAGCCCAGAGGGGCTCAGCACGAGGAGCCTGCCTTGGGGTGATGGCAGGACCAGACTTACCTCTCCTCACACATCTGATAATTTCTGCTCTCAACTCTTCTCCATTTCTAGCCCATTTGAGAGGAAGAGAGACTGTGTTTAAAGGGAATGCTGCCCTGCACATCTCTTGTAAGCTCCTCCTTGGGTGGCCATGGCTGATGCCCCTGGTGTCACCCCTTTTCCCCAGTGCTGTCTCAGCCCCCAGATGCTCTCTCACAGTTACCCTGCCCTGTGTTTTCCACTGTGGCTGGGGCTTCACAGCCTTCTCTGGGCACTGCTTTGCCTCTGATAGGAGAGTCTTTAACCAGGCTGGGCCTCCTCAGTAGGAACTCTGTGTTCCCAGTGACCACATGGACAGATGTGCCAAGGAGGGACCCCTACACAGGCATCTCCTCTGCTTTCATCTCATCCAGCCAAATATCCCAAACTCAGGGAATGCTCCTGCCCCGTACTCAGGGGTTTTAGGGGCTTTCAGCAGGGCAGCAGCTGGTGCTGTTCAGTGAGTGGTGCACCACAGAAGCCTCCACAGCTGCCATCCCAGAGCTCTCCCCTCTTTGCACACGTGTCCCAGGTGGCAGAGCAGGGCATCTCAGACCCACCTCCTCTCTCTGCAGCTGGTTAACACCCAGCCTACTGAGTTAGCAGAGTTAAATGCCAGGTGTCTGGAAACTCCTTCTAGTTAATAGAGCAGAAACAATCAGCAGAACCACCTACTCCTTAGGTCTCAGAGAAAAATGCAGCTATTTTCACCCAACATCCCTTGCAGAAGCCAGTGAGTGGCTCAATCTTGCAATGCAGCTCCCAGCTGCACTCACAGCTCAGCAGCATCACTGCCCAGCTCACCCAAAAGCCATACAGCAACAAGCACAGCAGCCTGAAAAACAAATTAATAATCAGTTAGGGTTGCACGGGGGGCTGGAAGTCTCAGAAATGCCCTGTGTGTGTTTGGTGGCAAACTGGTGAAGCAGTTACTCCATTGTCTGAACTTTCTGTTTTTCAATGCCAGCCCCATTCTGCAGTTCCTTCTGAAGCCTTTCCACCTTCCCCACCCCATGAGGCTGGGCATGGAGGGAGCTCCTTGCTGCCTGCAGGGCTGGGCAGGAGCTGCTCTGGTGCCCCCGTGCCAGGGAAATTGTGTCTTGCAGACCCAAGCCGTGCCAAGGCAGCCTGCTCCAGGACAGCGTGAGGAGGTACCTGCAGCTGCCAGCAGACCAGACAGTGCTCATCCTGCATGCCAAGGTGGCTCAGAAGTCCTATGGCAACGAGAAAAGGTGGGAGATAGTCAGGACCAGGCAATAAGTTACATAGTCTCCATATATCACACAAAGCTGATTGTTATTTATCAACAAACCCAGGCTTTTATATCCTAGTGCACTACAGGTTGACCTAACTGGTCCTCCAATCAAAACACCATCACCATGGGCTGGTTAAGAAACCACCCTTTGGTAAACAAATCTGCATAACACGTGAACATTCCACATGTTCACAACACCAGGTGCAGCAAGTGAAGATAAGAATTGTTTCTCATTCTTTTCTCTGATCCTCTCCCAGCCTTTCCCAGAATGATGCTGGTAAAGTTGTGTATTCCTCTCTGAGGCCAGAGAGCTGCTGCCACAGGAGATGGTCCCAGCTTCCCTGATAGCCACTTCTAAACCCAGCTACCTAAAGCTTCATTTCAGCCTTGCTGAATTTCACTGATCTAAGCTGGTGAAAATTATCCCCCCTATTCACTCATCTTTGCATCCAAAGTCATCATTTATTCTCCATTAATTTAATTACACAAGAAAGAATTAGCTCCAACCTGTATCCATCCCAGTTAGACATTCCCAGTGGATAGGTTCTTTCCATGCAGCAGTAAAGAAAGACAAAGTAAAAGAAATCAAGATGCTGTTCAAATCTTAGCCCCAAGAAGGAAAGGCTGATGTTTAACTGCCCTCTAACTCTTGCATTAAAATCAGCATGGCCACAGCAGGGACTGGGCTGTTTCCATCAATGCCAGTGGTCTCCAAATCTGCTATTTTTGAAAATCCTTCCCACACTGAACACCTTGAGGTTCTGGCTTGAATCTCCAAAATTGCCACTCACTGGCAGTGACGTCAGACTGCAGCACTGCAATGTAATTAATCCTCCATTAATCCTTGGGATATAAATACTGCTCCATTATTACCCAGCATGGAGCAGCTGGGAGGGAACCAGCTCAGCCTCCTCTGGAACCACCCAGACCCCAGGAGACAGCTCTGGGATGGGCTGGCTGTGCCTACAAAGCTCTCACCACATCCAGTCTCCTGCCAGGGGCTGCTGGTCCGCAGGTAAAAAAAAGTTATTTCAGGACTGAATCTTCCAGCCAGGAGGGAGCCCTCTCATCACAGCCTCTGCTCCTGACCCCATGCAAGGGGTGAAAATCAGATGCCAGGTCTGAAAAGGGAGAGAAAAACCTGCACAGAGCTCCCAGGTTTAAGTTTGAAGGTGCTGCTGCCATTTTCCTTAATAATGGGAGTCAGGGGCCTGTGCTGTTGATGAGTTGCTTAAATAAACTTGTACCTCCAGGGCTCCAAGATATCCAACCCCTGCACTGGTGTTTTCTCTGGTGGTGCTTTACCCAGTATCCATAGAGGATGAATTTGCACCATTCACACAAGTGCAAAGACAGTGGAAACCCAAATAAAACACAGGAAAATGGGCTTGCAAACTCCTGGCTATGGATTTATTTGCACTGGGCTGCAGAAGTGATTGTGAATGCAAACTCTGTTCCCAGCCTGCTCAAACTCCCACATGGCAGGCAGGCAGGGGCAGGCTCTGATGGTCCCTGGGGGAGCTGGGGGTGCCAGGCTCCCTGTCCTCCCATGCCAGGGCCATCTGTCACTGCTGGCATCATGGCCACAGTGGCACCCCCAGATGTGGCAGCTGCTGAGGCTGCAACCAGGCACAGGGCAGAGGGTCCCCAGCCCCTGGCTGAGCTCCCTGTGCCTCCCAGGTGCATGGGTGTCCCCAGTGAAGGTCTCTGCTCTCAGCACAGCCATGCAGCCCCTCCTGAGCACCTTCTCAGGGTGCTGAAGGGCAGTGACAAAATGCCCTCTTGTCTCTGCAGGTTTTTCTGCCCCCCACCTTGTGTTTACCTGAGCGGGCCAGGATGGAAGTTAAAGCAGGAGCAGATAAAAGGTGAGAAGAGCCCTGGACCTCTCCTCCCTCCCTTCCTGCACCATGGAGAGCTGCCCTCTGAAAAGGGGACAGTGAGTCTTTTTATATTGGTTTTGGCCCCCCAAACTCCTTTCCTGATCAAGCCTGAGCCCCCTGAAATCCAGAGAGGGCTGAGGCTTGGTCATGCTGTGCTCCTGGAGAAGCTGAGCCTGTGCAGGGGGCTGGAAGGTGCTGCTCCTTATCTGTTCCAGCCAGGGACCTGGGAGAGGCTGGATTTCGGGTGTGTGGGTACATGGGGCTGGACAGCATGGGCAGCAGCCTGATGGAGACCCAGAAGCTGAGCTTTGAGGAGCAGCCAGATGCAAAGGTAAAGCCTGTGGGGTTGTGAGGATCCCCCTCATGCAGGGGCTGGGCTGTCACCAGCCGCACCCCACACCCTGGGATGCCACATCCTCCCCCATCCTGCTCCGGATGTCACATTTTTTCCTAGCCACAATCTCTTTCTTCCTCCCCACTCCATTCACACAAGTGCAAAGACAGTGAAAACCCAAATAAGACACAGGAAAGACTGCTGTGGCATGTGCAGCAATGCAGGCAGCCCAAAGATCCCTGTCTTTCTCTGGAACCATATTTTCAGGTCAACAGCCTGTCAAAATCTGCACAGCTCCCCCAGCCCTGGTTCCTGCTTGTCACAAAATGAAAGCCTGGTCCTTCATTTGCAGATAAACAGCTTTTAAAAATGCCCCAGTTGATCCCAAAGTTCAAATCCTTCAGCAGAGCTCTGGCATCTTTTGATTGGAGGGGGGAAAAAGGAGAAGAAGCATTATCTGGGGTCCCTGAAGAGCACGGGGTCTGAGGCAGGCCAGGAGCTCACAGAAAGGGCCTTTGTCCACAGTGCTTGCCTTGCTGCTAAAGCACAGCATATCGGCCAGGCTGAGGGAAACCATAAACCCAGGGTGATTTCTCATGTTATGTGGGATAAATCACACGTGAACATTCATTTCCATAAGGAATACTCTGCCCCCAGTGTAAATAAAGCCTCTGCTGATCCCCAGCTCTTCATTCCACCTGTAATAACATCTCTGGTCGTTTCTCCCTTTAAATGAACCCGGGGCTCGTTGAAGGGAACTATTATGTCCTTGTGGGGTGGTGAGGAGGGTGAGGAGGGTGAGGAGGGTGAGGAGGGCTGGTGGGGCTGGGCTGGAGCTGCTGGCAGCCCCTGTGTGCCCCTGGCAGGGGTTCAGCTGTGCCAAGGCCCTGTACATCTCAGACACGGACAAGCGCAAGCATTTCCGCCTGGTCCTGAAGCTCTTCTTCAGCAACGGGCAGGAGATCGGCACCTTCCACAGCAAACTCATCAAGGTCATCTCCAAACCCTCGCAGAAGAAGCAGTCCCTGAAGAACACGGACCGTGAGTGGCTCTGTGGGGAGGATGGTGGGTGCCAGCCCAGGGTGGGATGCTCTCTGCTCGCAGCTTGGCTCTGCAGTGGCCCAGGCCGGACCCAAATGTTGCAGTGCTGTGAGGGTCCCAATGAGGGGAGAGAATGATGCCGCTGACTCCATGGGTATTAAAAGGCTAATTAATTACTTTATTATACTATATTGTTCTATACATCTAAAACTGAACCTGCCAAGCACTCAACACTGCTCACACTGCACTGAATCTGTGACTGTCACAGTTCACCCCCACACACACACAGTTGGCCCTGGAAACAAAACACCATCACTTTGGCCAAGGAAACAAAACACCATCACTTTGGGTAAACAATCTACATTTGGGTAAACAATTGCATTCTACTTTTGCAGAGAAAATGATAAGAACTGTGTTTTTTTTCTCTGAGGTTCAGAGAATGTGAATCCCAGAAATATCCTTGGGAAGAATTGTGCCTTGCTTTTCTCTGTGAAGGGAAACATGGCTACACCCACAGCCCATGGGAGCTCCCAAAAGAGGATGTATCTGAGACAGTGCTGTCTCGTTTCCAAGTGGTTCACCCAGCACGGGGTGTAATGCCCTGATGCCAATGTGGTCCCCACACCACGGGCCTCACCCCATTCACACGCAGGGGAGGGTTTGGCTGCTGGGTACCCAGGAACCATGGCATGTCCTCACTGGGCCTGACAGAGCCATCATTCAGTCCTGGCAAGCACTAACCCGGGCACCTCTCCCCTCAGTGTGCATCTCCTCAGGCTCCAAAGTGTCCCTCTTCAACCGCCTGCGCTCCCAGACCGTCAGCACCCGGTACCTGTCCGTGGAGGGAGGAGCCTTCATCGCCAGCGCCCGGCAGTGGGCAGCCTTCACCCTCCACCTGGGTAAGGACCCTCGGGGACAGTGATGCCTCCATGCCTCCAGCACTGGCTCTCCTGTCCTGCAAAGCCAGTTCTTGGTGGCAGAAGGCATGGGAATTAGCCTGGGGGTGCAGGAATCTGTCTCAGTCTCACCTCTGCCTGGCATTCCTGGTGCGTCTCTGGATATTTCCCACTGGCTTTGAGGGCACAGGGGCTGTGACCAGGGCTGTACTGGTCTGGAGGTTTACAAATCCAAGCAAGGGATTGCCTTGAAGAGTCCAAAGCCCAACAGTATTCCTGCCCTGCAAGGTGCTGCATCCCCATCCTGCTCTCCCAGGCTGGGCTCCCAGGGAATGATGCTCTCTCCAAGCATCATTCCCTATGAGCCCAGGTAAGACAGCAGCAGGAGCAGGCCCAGACCTGTGCCCAGCTGGGTTAACCAGCTCCCCGGGCTGACTCTGCCTCTCCCTCCCGGGCAGCCGATGAGCGCTGCAGCCGCAGCGAGTTCCCCCTGCGGGAAGGGTACATCCGCTATGGCTCCGTGGTCCAGCTGGTCTGCACGGCCACCGGCGTCACCCTGCCGCCCCTGGTGAGCCCCCCACACCCTGCTGCCCCTGGTGAGCCCCCCACACTCTGGTGAGCCCCTGGTGAGCCCCTCACACCCTGGTGAGCCCCTGGTGAGCCCCCCACACCCTGCTGCCCCTGGTGAGCCCCCCCACACCCTGGTGAGCCCCCCACACCCTGGTGAGCCCCTCACACCCTGCCGCCCCTGGCAAACTCCTCATCCTGCCACCCCTGGTGAGCTCTGTGCCTGCAGTGCCAGAGCACAGAGCCGCCCGCACCATGGCTCCGAGTGGTGGGGCCGTGCCGGGCATCCGTGCTGGGGGGATCGATGCTGGGGATTCACACCAGGGATCCATGCCAGGGATCCGTGATGGGGATCCATGCCGAGAATCCCTGCTGGGGATCCATGCCAAGATCCACACCAGAGATCCACACTGGAGATCCACACCAGGGATCCATACTGGGGATCTGTGCCAGGTTCCACACCAGGGATCCATGCTGGAGATCCGTGCCAGGATCCACACCAGGGATCCATGCCAGGGATCCATGCCAGGATCCACACCAGGGATCCATGCCAGCGATGCTGCTGCCCACAGATCATCCGGAAGGTGATGAAGCAGTACGCCATGCTGGATGTGGATGAGCCCATCTCCCAGCTGCACAAGTGTGCCTTCCAGCTGCAGGGCAGTGACCGCATGTACCTGTGCCTCTCCACAGACAAGGTGATCCAGTTCCAGGTATGGCAGTGCAGGAGCAGGGTGCTTGTTGCCCTCTCTCCAAGCTCCTGTGTTGCTTCAGGCTGGGGAGCATGGCACTGGGAGGAGTCTTGCATCCAAACTCAGGCAGAATCATGGCAAAGCTTTAGTGGGGACGCTGGAACTGAGGTCTTTGAAAGGAATCACAATTCCCATTTCCCTATGAGCAAAGCAGTCACTTGCTGGAACCAAGACGCTGAGGGCAGAAGCCAGGCATCCCATCCCCATTCCCCACCACCTCCCCTGCAACAGTAATCCTAGCTCAACTATTCATCCCCCTAGCCTTCTCAGCCTCAGAACTAATACTCTTACATCACATTCAAAGCCACCCTCATCCCCACTCTCATCCTCATCACACAATGAGGAAACCAACCAGAACACCTGAACGCTGGCATTAACTTCCTATTTTATGCACTTGCCAGCTCACTCTCACTACTAATTGCTATCCTCCACCTGCACAATCAAATTGGTACACTACACTTCCCAATACTCAAACTCTCACACCCTACATTAAACTCTTCTTGATCGGGCCTGGCTGCAAGCCTTGCTCTTCTACTAGCCTTCATAGTTAAGGTCCTCCTACACCACCTGACATATTTGGAGCTCTGACACTCTCCACAGGCATCTCCCTGCCCAAAGGAAGCCAACAGGGAGCTGCTGAATGACGGCTCATGCTGGACCATCATCAGCACAGAGACGGTGGAGTACACGTTCAGCGAGAGCCTGGCGTGCATCCGCGAGCCTGTCAGCCCCGTGCCCCTCATCGCTGCCCTGCAGGTGGGCACAGCCCCGGGCTGCCCCTCCCTGTCACCTGCCTGCCTCGTGCCTCCTCCTCCTCAGCCCTTCTCCCCCTGTGGCACCTCCCATTCTCAAGTGGGAATGAGATGCACAGGCAGAGCAGCCTGTGGGAGAAGCAGTCTGGCTTCATAACCCACCCAGCCCTGCCACACTCTGCCTGTCACAGCTCACAGGTGGTGGGGACGTGGCCATGCTGGAGGTGCAGGGGGAGTATTTCCATGCACACCTCAAGGTCTGGTTCGGAGATGTGGAAGCAGAGACCATGTACAGGTAAGGTGGAAAGGGGAGCTGAAGGCAGGGAACAGCAGCCAGGAGTGGGCTGTGCTGGGCAGGTCTGGGAAGGATGTGGCTGCAGACACTGGGGACAAGGACACTTGCAGGAGCAAGGAAAGGCAGGAATGAGTCTGGTGCCTGCTCTCTGCCCTGGCTGCAGCCTGGGCATAGCCATGGGTGGGGAACAACAGGGATTTCAGGGAACTGCAAACAACCAAGCAGCCTTGGCAGAGAGGAATGAAAGACTGGGAGGAGAGAGGGAACTGGGTGGAGGCTTCACACTGAGCTCCAGGATGGAGGAGAAGTGTAGTCACTCAGTGCTGGCTGCTCCTGCATGGGATCTTCCCTGGTTAACGCACATTTTCCTCTCCTGCACTGACAGGAGCCCCAAGTCCCTGGTGTGTGTGGTCCCTGATGTCTCTGCCTTCGGCAGCGACTGGAGGTGGCTGCGCTATCCCATCACGGTCCCACTCCTGCTCATCAGGGATGACGGCCTCATCTACTCCAGCTCCTTCACATTCACCTACACCCCGGAGCAGAGCTGCGTCCCAGGGCAGCAGGTCCTCTCTGATGTTCCCCAGGACTCAGACAAATTACTGGACAGCATCCACCAGGAGTTCACCAGGACCAACTTCCACCTCTTCATGCAGACCTAGCAGGCTGGGCTGGAACAGGCTTGGCCTCCCTGCTGGCCTAGGAAAGGGGAACACTCCTGCAGGGGACATCTCCATGCTGGGGAGGCTCATCCAGGGCTTGGGGTGGCCCTGCCAAAGGGTTCTCCCCACTCACTGAACACACACCATGCTCCTGTGATTTACTGATTTATCTCTTTCTCACAGCAGCATCTCACACTGCTGACATCTCACATGAGAGCATCAATAAATCAGGCTTGAAGGACTCTTCACTGATTCAATTGCCTTTTGACTGGCTTGCATGATTTACCTGCATGCTGGCACAGAGCACCACAGCTCCCTCAGCGTCCCCAGGCCATATATTCAAAGTCCAGGAGGGACAGGGATAATGCCTAAATGCAACCTTAAGTGTTACTGATCCATACCAGGAATCCCTGCATCGCTGCTGTGCTTTTCAGCTCAGCAGGAGCTGCTTCCCAGCAGCCAAATACCCAGCACCAGATGTTTTGGTTTTTTATTGGAGGCCCAAATGGGGTTATTTAAGAAGGAAAAGGGAAAAAGAGAGAAAAAACTTCAGTGTGAAACCCAGCTCCTCCCTAGCTGGCGTGGCTCTGCCAAGCTCTGTTGTTTTATGCAATTAGACACACTGCTGGCATCAGCAGCAAACTGCTGATTTGGATGCCATAAAAAGCAGCCAGCTTTCCTGGAGCTGGACATGAGCATTTTGCAGAGTGGGCGTTAAAGGCTTTATTTAGATCTCCGTGGCATCCAAAGGCCCATGGCGTACCTGGAAACCTTCTGGTTTGGCAGTCCTGAGCTGGGGTTTGAAACAGCCCAGCAGGCAGACTACAGTGGCAGCCAACCCACCCTAACCTGGGGGCAGGAGAGCAGGGGAAGCACAGCCCCCATGGCCTGCAGCACCCCAGCATGCACACATGGGCAGCACCTGGGTCACCTCTGTGTTCTCTGTGATCTGGAATGTCTCAGATGCAGCACTGCCCTGTGTGCAGTCCATCCTCAGCCTCGTTGTGTGCCCCCCATGCCTCACTGTGCCTCCAGGTGCTGAATTTGGGGCTGCAGAGGGCTCACAGCCTCACACCAGCCAGCAGGAGATGCTCAGGCATGCCTGGATCTTGGCCTCCCCCCTCTGGAGCTTGTTCCTGTCCCTGGCTCCCATGGGGGCACCAGAGCTTGGGTCTCATCATCCTCACCCAGGGCTTCCCAGGGAGCAGCACCTCCCTAAACTCCACCAGGAGATGGGGTTCATTCTTCCTCAAAACAGGAACCTCACTGAGGGCAAAAAGCTCAGACATATCTCTGCATCTGGAGCTGCTGTGGAAAACTGGGAGAATGTTACAGCCTGTGCCAACAGCCAAGGGCTGGTGGAGGAAGAGGCTGGAGGACAGAAGAAGGGTGATCACATGGAGATCCACAAGGGATCCAAAAGCAAGTTCCTCCAGCAGGAGGCAAGGTCCTAATGTGCTCATTAGGTGTTGGGAGCAGTGCTACAAGACTCTGCTGCTCCCATTTCTGGAAAATGCTCAAATATCTTACACAGCTCTGGGGGCACTGGGGGCTTCCCCTGTGCTGCTGCTGGGCCACCTCATCAGCCCACGCTTACCATGCCCTGCACTCACGTCCCCAGCAAATCCACCCCAGCCCTAATGCACCGAGGGTGAAATGCAAGAAAATACTTTAATGAACCCAAACAGAGGATGCCCCACATTTCCCCCAACAGCATTTCCTTCCCCATCTGCTCAGTGGAGGGCTGGAGGGCTGTGAAATGATGGGCTGAAGCCTTTTGGTTGCTGCCTGCATCAGGAGTGTCCAGAGCCCTCAGCTCCTCAGCCTGCTCTCCACCCTCACAGGCCAGGGCATAATTCACATTTTATGAATGGAAAGCATCCTGGGTTATATTTAGCACCAAAGGGCAAGAGGAGCACTGCTTCTTGACTTCAGGGGCTTGGAACAAGCCTGCCTTGTTATGTTTACAGCACTTTGCTGGATGGAGAGGCCAAGAAAGCTCTGAGTGGCTCATTCTTGCAGCCTGATGGATTGAGCAAACAGCCGCAGTAATTCAAGCCACATGGGGAAAGGGGAGAGGTGGCAGGGCGGGCTGGGGGAGCCTCCCGGGGCTCCTGCCTTCCCCACCGGCCTCTGCCTGCCTTTAATCTGCTTTTCACAGCGGGTCCCACGCTGGCAACGAGGAGCCGGGAGCTCCTGCAGGGGACACTCGCCTGCCACAGGAACAGATGCTCCGCATCGCGCCGAGAGCCGGGAGCGTGGCAGAGCTGTTTATTTGCATAATCGCTGATTAACACAAATGTCTCGGACAGGAGCCAGGCAGCCAGTTGCGTGTTTTCGCTCGGGAATGTCTCTGCCGGATCCCACAATAACGCAGCGTGTGTCCGGGCAGGGAGCACGGCCCGTCCCGCCGGCCTGGCTCTGCTCTGCCCGTCTGACAGCGCTGCTCTGAGCTCTGCCAGGCAGCCAGGAACACGGCTGGGCACAAAATCGGGCATGAAAACACCTTTTCTTGGCTCCAAAATTTAGAAAAAGCATCAAATGCTTAAGGGATGCACAGGATGATTCAAGTGTAGGATGTGATGCTGCATGAGCATCCCCAGGTGAGGGTGAGGCTGGAAGACGATGGGGATCTGCAGCTTCTGCCTGTCCCCAGGCAGCAGAAACATAGCTGGGTACAAAATCAGGCATGAAAACACCTTTATATGGTTCCAAGAGCTGGATTTAGGAAAAGCATTGAATGCTTTAGGGATGTACAGGATGATTCATGTGTAGAATGTGATGCTGCATGAGCCTCTCCTGGTGATAGTGAGGCTCAAAGGCGATGGGGATCCCCAGCTTTCACCAGCCCCACCACATCAAGCAGCCACTTCAGGTCCCAGAGCAGAGCATTCCCTTTAAAAACATCGAGAAAAAAATGAAATCCTGGCTTTCCCGCCGTGACACAGCATCCCAGAGGAGCTCTCAGCCCGTGTTGGCGCCTCACTCCCTGCCCGGGCTGTGTCATTGAGCTGTTTGGAAGAAGCTGCTGCCATCTAGTGAGCCCAGCCCGGTGATCACACTGACTGCTCATCATGCCTGGCACACTGGGCACCTCCGGGGCACACCTTCTGTCCAAATCAAAAGGTTTGGCTGCTTTCTGAACAGCCCCTGCGCTGCATTTTGCCCCACATCACCCAGCAGGTTTCCCCGTGGGTTGGTTGGGTGTTTTTCAGAAAGGGGAGGGCAGCTGTGGAGGGTGGGCACTGTCCCTTCCCTGCTCACTCAGCCCAGCTGGTGACACTGCTCCTGGCACTGAGGTGGCAGCTGGGCTGAATTGCCTGTAGGACAATTTGTGACAATACCTGCAGAAAAACCAGAAAAACTTTGTTAAAGCAGGGGATTTGCAACCCCTGAGTGCAAGGGGTGGGCAAAGGGGGAGCTGTAAAAATTGGGCACGTTCTGTACCAGAGGTGTTTGCCTCAGCAAGGACAGCCCCAGGGCAGGTCCCTCTGCTGTGCTGTGACTTGGTCACCTCCTTGACAGGAGTGTGGCAATTCTCCAGGTGCCCGTTCATCCTCTTTGTGAAGCACAGAGTGTAGGCCAGCATCAGCAGGGAATGTGCACCAGGATGAGCAGCAGCCTGCCTCCCCTGCTCTGAGCCCTTTGCCTGGGGCTGTCCCTGCCCCACAGCCAGGCACAGCCTCCAGGAAGACCAGGGGGCCACAATCCACCCTGTTCAGTGTAAATATCTGCATCCCTGGCCTTCAGGAGCAAGGGATGTGGGAATGCTGCTCTGCCCATCAGCCAGGGGAAAGGAGCAGGGAGAAATCTTTTATTGAAAGCTGCCCCCAGTGTGTTGGTGCCCAGGGCTGATACAGTGCACAAAAGGGACTCAGCCAGCCAGACTGAACCAAGGGGCCATGTTGTCATCATATTTCAAAAGTTTCATCTGTTTCACAGCTCCATCAATGATCTATTTCAATCACCTTCTCAGTGATCTCTCATGGGCATCTCCTTGCAGACTTTCTTCTTCTGCACAATACAGCCAACAAACACCAAATCTCTTCACAGCACAAACAACAAACTGCAGTACTCTTCACAGCCAAAAACTCCAACTCTCTTCTGGGCCAGCTAACCCACTCTTTTATAGCACTCTTCCTTACTAGTCACCGCTGTGGCCTATCAAGGGCAGGCCTGTTCCTAATCTTTGGTGGTTAGTACAGCTGCAACTCCTCAGGGGTGAGATTACCTTCTGCACTATCTTTATTTTCTCACATTCTATCCTCCCACAGGGCCAGCCACTGCATCACAAGGCATAAAATCCCTCTCCTACCAAGGCTGGTCCCAGCACTGCCCACACACCCCAGAGGGGTCCCTGAGCATCCCACCAAGGGCACTCCCAGCCCCAGCACACAGGGCCATAGATCTGCACAGTGCTCAGAAACCCTGGGCTGATTTTATCCTTTTTCTGACAGAGCTATAAATTACCCAGCTGGGCCTCAGGATGCAAAACTATGCTGGGGCCAAAATAAGCCAAGCTGGGTTGCTGAGGAATTACAATTACCTGCTTAAGAGGCTTCAAGCACATCAGGAACTGCTCAGGCGTGTGGCCCTGCTGGCCAGGCTCTGAAATAAACCCAAACAGCAGCAAGGACAGAGTTAGACACCCGTGGGTGCCTGTGGCACCAGCAGTGCCAGGAGTGGGTGTTATTAGCCCTGAGACTGCCACGCTTCTGCGCCCAGAGCCCTGGGCACTCAGCCCTGCCCATGCAGCCAAAAAGCCTGTGGAAAATTAGGCTTGCTTTTTGTCAGTGGTTTTGGGTATTTTGCCTAAAAGCAAGCTGAAAACAAGCAAATTCCTGTCAAGTTCTGGACTCCCTGCAACTCAGGGAAGGACCAAGCCCAGGGGCCAGCAGTGTCCCAGGGGCCAGCAGTGTCCCCAAGGCTGGAGCTGGGGTTGGATGGCCTCATTAGGGTGGGGGTCAGTGCTGGCACAGCTCCCTGTGGTCAGCCCCACACTGCAGCACTGCTGGGGGCTTTGGGCATCCAGTGAGGGGGGCAGAGGAGGGGAGAGCACTGGCAATCTCCTTTCATCCTGCTCTCAAAAGAAACACATGCATAGTTTTCTCAGGATTCACTAGGGAAGGAAAGCAGCTTTTTAAACAGCTTAAATAAACAACTGGGCTTGAAAGCACG